CCCCCCCGTCTACCCCCCCCCCTCCCCTCCCCTCCCCCCTCCCCTCCCCCACCACGACATTCTTTCGTTTTATAGTTGGATGCAATAGTTAGTTGTAATCGTTTCCAAGAACCCCCGCGATCAGGTTTATTTTGTGATCTATTGTGGGCGGATCCGGCGGATGAGGAGAGAACTGGTGATGACCAGCAGCAGACGTTTTATCCGAATGATGTTCGAGGGTGTTCTTATTTCTTTACGTTCGCTGCAGCGAAGCAATTTCTGGACAAAAACGATTTGTTGTCTATTATTAGGGCCCATGAGGCTCAATTAGATGGGTATAAGATGCATAAGGCGGATAAGGTGACTCATTTTCCTACGGTTATAACGATCTTTTCCGCCCCGAATTACTGCGATTGTTATAACAATAAGGGTGCTATCCTAAAGTTCGATCGAAATACCTTGAACATTCAACAGTTCAACTTCTCCGCCCATCCGTACTACCTGCCCAACTTCATGGACGTATTCGCCTGGAGTATTCCCTTCGTCTCGGAGAAAGTCACAGAAATGCTCTATGCCATATTGAACCCAACACTCGATTGCGAAACTGATACTGATGATGAAGATGATGATCCCCTACCCGTCGAAATACAAAGGGTATTGATGGACAACCAGGAACCCACACAAACCAACAACGGACAAGGAAGCTCACTATCCAAACAACGAGCGGAGGCCCTACGAAACAAAGTTGTCGCCGTCGGCAGACTCTGTCGCGTCCTTCGAACACTCAGGGAACAACACGAACTGATTGTACAACTCAAAGGCGTCACACCAGGCCATAGAATACCTCCAGGCGCACTCCTAGAGGGCAGACAAGGCCTACAAGATGAATTACAAAAGTTCATGTCAGTTAAACAAATCGACGCCATCAATGAGAGAAGACCACAAACCCGTAAGCTCCCCCCACTGCTGACCCACGACCCCCCTCCCAATGCAAACCCCCCTCCCAGTGCAAAATTGCTCTTCAGAATTGCGACCTAATGAAGTGGAAACGAAATGTGACACACACGTTTCTCCGCGTGGACCGGAAGGTCTCTTGAAAGGTGTCCTCCCTCTTGACGCTATTACGCCCCGAGGCTCGACTAAAGGAAACCGCCGAGAAAGGCGGAGGTCGTCACAGCAATAGTCACCTGTTGCCGCTCTGGCTAACCACAACTTCTCGGGTTGAGCTCTCCGGTTGGGCACAACTTCACGGGTTGGGCACAACTTCACGGGTTGGGCAACCACGAGCGCAACCACCCATCAATTGTCCGAGTCTGTTGTCCGATCAGTCGTCCTCGTTTATCTGTTTTTTAGCGAAGCTGTAGGTATTGGAGATGCTCATACGGACATTCTTTCGCACGTTTTCTGTCATTTCCGTGCTGGTCATGTTCGAGTTGGTCGTCGTCATTCCGGAGTCCCCCCGCGCCATCGCAGTTTTGAGAATCAGCGAAGTGTTCACTGGCGGTCCCGAGGGCTTGTACTTCCGTAACAGCATCGGTCGTCGTCTCTTGGCCACTGCGGAGGGAGCCACGGCGGAGGGAGCAAAGGTAGCCAGGGGAGGCGGAAGATCTGAGAAACTCATCGGCGCCAAATTTGATAGCGCCCGGTTTTCCTGCATGCCTGTATATTGGGTCGCCCCCTCTGTGTTTTCCGCGGTATTGATCTTGGTAGGCGCGTCGCCTTGTTGTAGTTCATGTGATTGCTGTCTGGCGGGATACCGAGCAGTGGTTGTAGCGGCGAGTGGATCACTTTTGCCGTTCGCCCCAAGCTTTGTTCTGGATCGGATGACGGTGCTTCGCTCCGATATTCCCGGTCGTCTGCCCAAAGGAGTCTGGCCTCTAGTTTCTGTTTCTAGCGCCACGCCGGCGGTATCCATAGTTCGAGCTCTGCCGATCGTTTTCGCTTTCCTGACCATTTCAGATATGCCCATTTTATCGCCAGCGGTTACATCATTACCATTAACGGTACCGGTATCGGTCCTGGTCGTATGTTTGGGTGCGTAATCTGTCCAGACGGTTTCCTGTGTCTGACGTTGGTCGAAAGATGCGCCATGATCGAAAGATGCGCCATGATCGAAAGATGCGCGAACACGTTTTTGAGGAGGTATAACGTCCGGGGTTCTATATAGATGGTTGAAGTTTTGAGTGTTGATATTCTTACTGAGGTTGCCTAGGTAGTTGGAACTGTTTATGATAATGAGTCTTTATCGTGTTAATAATGTTGATATATCTTAGCAATAAGTCTTTATCTTCTTCTTCATCTGTTTTCTTATTACACGTACCATCAAGTGGCAGGACAGCGTTAGGATCCCCAAAGAAATATGCAGCAGCCGTATAGGAAGCAAGGAAGCCATAATATCTTTCGACAAACATCTTGGCGTGATCGTGTAAATTGCCGGCGTACTTGGCCGCCACCTGCTCAAAACAATCTGGCATACTTGCAGAATTACGGGGCATCAATTTGGAATCTGAATGAAGGCCCGCAAGCACCACGTAAGTGTTGATTAAATCCCGGGCTGCATTATAGGTCGTAATTACTCCATACTGAGCCGCTTTGGTCAAGAACTTATACTCATCTAGAGTGCATAATTCCCCCGTAAAATGACTCAAATAATTCAGTAATGTCATCCCCTCATTGCCTCGAACATCTGCCAACTTGCCAAAAGTCGATAGCTTAAAATATTTCAACCCTTCACGAACAGTTCCAACATTCAGCGCATTTCCAACCGCCAAGATCAGCCTATGAAGGAAATGAACGTTCTCATTCAATACCAAACATTCCATCGCCATTTGAAGATGCTTCATCCTTATCAATAACTTCTCCGATACGGTTGTAAAAGTCATTGCGACATATAATGCGCACATGCGCTCTCGAACATTAGGAATTTGAGAAATCTAAAGTATAGATTTTGTAACCCCCTCGGATAACGTCTGCCCCTCTCGGGTAACGTCTCG